GTTTTACTTGTGGGTTTTTTGTATAACGAAGTAGTGAATGTATTATTACTAAACTCCTCAACATCAAAAAATGGGAGTTTGATTTTTTGGCTAAGTTCATAGATTGAGGACGGAATTTTTTTTCGAATGTAGTTTTGAGATTATAGATTTCATTTTTGTTCTCAGCTAAAATAAAATATCATCTACATAGCGGACATATATTTTCGGTTTAGTAACTTTTAAAATACGTTATTTTCTACGTGGGACATGTTATAGAGAAGCACGGACTGTGAGGATTTCATATATTTACTCCATTAGTTTGAGGGTAAATTTTGCCATTATGGTCGTAGAAGGGGACTTTAGTTGTGCAGGCATGCAATAACATTTTGAGAATATTGAGTTTGATGGTGGAAGTGGAATTGAATTATTTTTAAATCCAGATTTGAGGATTACATTAATAGTTTCATCGACAGGGACATTTGTAAATAAATTTTCTACATCAAGTGACGCTAGAATGTCTTTTTGTTTTGTTTTGTTTTTTTTTGTTTGTTTTTTGTTTAGTTTTGAGGATTTGGTGACATTGATGAGGTGATTTTATGCTATAATTGGTAGACAGATATAGAATTTTCATAATTAATGCATACGTGTTTGAATCTGTGAAATGAGCGGTCGTAATGGGGTCCATGTTTGTGTATTTTAACATTTCTATATAAAAAATTTAACCACAGCACATTGTCAGCCGTTTTAACGAAACATGTATAAAAGACTGATTGCTGCTCAAATACGAAATTTTTAAATTACATGACTGACAGCCAACAAGGAACACAACACAACATTCAGGAAAAACCTTGTTTTCCGACAAATACCAACAGTTAAAAATGAAATCCAACAACATACTGCGATACTAAAACAGTTTGACCGAACCCGAATATGATGAAACACAATGCCATATCAATGTAAGTATTAATATTGACAAACTTAAACAAAGACAAAAATAATTACGAAAAAGCTTTGCATCTTATACCAAAGAAATATTCTAATTCCCAACAACAGTGATAAATATATAAACCTATCCTGTCATAAGCTCACATTTGACCAGAGGAAATTCCTAAATCTAGGACCAAATGCCATCTCCAGCCTTTTCAAAGTATAGATGGTTTTGGGTTCCGTCCATATGTCAATAAGAATAGAACTGCATTTAGATAAAAAAAAAAATACAACAAAAAGAAAATGATGGAAAATCTGAGATAAATGAAAATGGAAAGCATTTCAAAACAAAACACGATTTAATGCGTTCAGTTTGGAATGTTTTGCATTAAAAAAAAGAACAAGGAAGCCTGAAATCGAAATCCTAAACCAGTCATTATCCCAACTGGAAAATGACAAATGAATAAAAATCCATACAAACCTCAGAGATCTTCTGAAGGTATAACGTCTAAAAGATTGTACTCCTCGAAATAGCTATAATAACATCAAAGTAACAAAACTCAAATCTGCTGCAAAAGAACTAAAAAAACAACCCTAATATTTTTATCAGAAGAGCTGATAAATCAAATAATTTTGGACAAAATGAATTATTACAAAGAATTACAGCACTTTATTGACGATCTGTCTAAATTTATAAGATTAAATAAAACCACTACAGGCACTCTAAATAAATCTGTTAACAAACTCATAACGTCAAACAATGCTGATGTGGTATCCTCGAAAATCAACAAAATTATTGGATATTACCAACCAGGATACCTTTAAGGAAATGTTAAACTATACAAATCCGGATATACATTACGACGTATCATTTCACAAATATCAATACCTATATACCAGCTGTTAAAAGTTCTCGGTAATATTATTACTCCATATCTATCTACTAATTATAGCATCAAATAAACTCATAGATTTTTCAAAATCCTTAAAACTAAAAAACAAAAAAGCATTCTAGCGTCACTTGACGTAGAAAATTGATATTTATATCGTGATATATTTAAATATACATATCGATCTAAACTATAAATTATACACAAGTAACATGACATATATTCGTATACACGCATCTATGATTCACGTAATTTTAAACGCATACATATCAATATACACACCCATCTCATATAAAAGAAATGACAAAATATACATACATACAAAATACATAAACATACACACAAGTAAATAGAAATATACTCATGCATACTAGAAAATATACAATTATATATCTAAATCTAAAAGTAATGTAAATAAATGAATTTAGATATATATATATTAAAAATGAGAATATATAGTTTGGATTGAAATCAATTTGGTTCGATATTTTTCAAAGAAGTATTTCTTTTTATGTCTACATGTGACCATTAATTATCTTCTTTTGTTTTATAAATTAGGGTTATTTATTTTTATTTTTTTTATTATTTTTTTCTTTACAACAGTCAATTTTTCTAGTTGGCAAAGGTTACCTTTTCACATTGTAAGATTAGGCCTCGCCATTATTACACACGTCATTTTCGGTACAATTCCACCATCTTTTATTTGGCAATTATAAAGGGTGTTCCAATAACTTGGACCGATTTTAAATGTGAATTAAGTTTTAAATCGGTTCAAGTTATTGGAACAGCCTTTTATTTAAAGAGAGCAGTATTATTTTTGTATTTATCGTTACCTAAACTTAGTTTATGATCATAAAATCTATTTTTTTTTTTAATTGTATTTCAGGTAAACCAATATAACAATTATTTTCTCTATATGATTTGTATGTGTTGTGGATTCCGGGATAAAATCCGGTCTCAAAATGAATGACAAACGCAGGAATGAAATATAGCAAATAAATGTATTGACGTAATAATACAATTTGTAATACGGTTAGTAGATCCAGAAATGCGGTTAGTAGCAATAATAATATATATACAGTCTGGGAAATTCAGTATCGAAGTATGACTTCCTTCTGAGTCTACGTGCTCGCAACTGTGACTCCTACAAAGCGGTTACCTCACACTCTCACTCTATCACTGTCTCACTCCCGGGTATTCACCGGCAGCAGAACAAGTACACACTGGTCGAGTCCACTTGTATGAAAAAGGGGTGGACTCCATAACTGTATATTAACTCTATAAACAATATCAGTAATCAAACATTGGCCGTTTAAAAAAAAGTTCATATTATTTTGCCAATTACATTTTTTTCTATTCTTCATTATAGTTGCAATTTGTGCAAGTTATATAATTATTCAATAATATATTGTTACAATGGGATATAGATTTTCGATATTCCTTCTGTAGCTGATCTTTATTTTTGTTAAAAATCTTCTTTAGTATTAATTTTTTTATGTTTATTTATTAGCGTAGGAAAGATAAATAAAAGTCTGTTTCATACAATGACGATTGCATTCAAGCATAAGAGAAAGTCGCCTCATGGGGTTGACTTTAATGTCTATTTTTATATTTACATACGCTCTATTCTTGATACTGAGCACGTTAACTCTTAAATATGACATTCTTCAAAACTATATTCAAGACGTATTAAAATTACGTGAGCGTAGAACTCGGGTTACGACTAGAACCATCCTTTCATAGGATTTAACGTTGGTAAGTGTTTTTTGCTCCGTCTAGACAATCTGGGTTTCCAGATTGCCTAGACCGAGTGGGTAAGTCGGCCTTTTTTTCTCTTTCTATTTTCAGTATTGTCGCTTTTATTCGAAATTGTATCCGGATAAAAGGTTTTAGGAAGTTCGTTGGTTCCATCAGCAGTTTTGTTTTTCTTATATAAATATATAATTTTTTTATAATTATTTATTTTATTTACTCTCCCCAATCCCGTAACTAAAATAGACTGATCTACTATTATTATAGTAGTTATTAACCCGCCTCCCGACGGGTTTAATGTGTGGTTCTAGGGCCCAAAATTGTCCAGATCCCGCAAACGTCGGTTGGGCTGGCATCGATATTACTATTGCTCTCCCGTCACTAGTACAATCAGGCGGTTACTGCCGTGTGCAGCTATTTCCTGGGACTGGGTAACTCCCAGTATTTTTCCTCCAGCTTCGTCTCTGTTCGCTGTCACATAAGGAAAGATGGCTAAGAAAAATTGACACTCACATGACATATTGAAGGTGGGACAGAGAAGGTAAACAGCGCATAACTTGCCTAACGAGCTTGTGTAAATGGTTGGTAGAACAGTTTGGGAGAGATCGAAAAAGAGCACATTTACTAAGAGCTACAAAGAACAGGAAATTGTGGAGGGCCATAATCGCCAATGTTCTAGAGGGACATGTTACATAGAAGAAAATTACAGTTAGTAAATAACACTGGTGTGAATTATTACTGTTAGCCCCGAAGCAAATTAAACTATTCTCATAAACTCGATTTCCCGCCATCACAAAAAAAAAATGATTACTAGCTAAAATACTTAAAGAAAATTAATGCTCTTTTTTTACACAAGGTCTAACAGTCACTCAAAGTAGATGGTTGCTGAATTGAGGAAAAGGAGTTAAGAAGTGCATATTATGACGATATGTAGAATACATATCGCTTGACCTAGACCTGAAGAGGTTAGGAATGTTGTGATCGAGGAAAGCATCCTCTCAGGAGTTTGTTCTTCAAAACAGCGGCACTTGAGAATAAGCTATCCGATTGGAACTTTCTTGTTACTAATGGAATACGAGGGGAATGAGGAGTCGATCCCGTGGACATGTCATGGCTGGTTTTAGACGTGAAGGTCTGAACTGGCGCCAACACTTGCGATAGAGTAGCAATAGGCTTACAACGTTGGTGATATTAATTACTACTTAAAGTTTGAGGAAAAGTGCTGAGACGGTGAAAGAAAAAGGCATTTCCTCGGGGTTTATATTTAATATTTTAAAAGTTAACACCGTGAAAAAAAAAGTGTGATTTGCTAAATAACTGAGCCTTGACTTCCAGTGTCTGTGAAACGCTCTTCGTCATTTGATCCTAGAAGCAACCAAGTTGACCCAGAGACCTCAGTTCAAACCGTAAGAGGATCAACGCACAGGTGCTGTCGGATTTCAAGGTTCTGACCTCGTTAGATGATGAGGAAAGTGATAATGTGTTATGGAGGGAAGGAAGGGGAGATGAAATAAGAAAAAAAAAAGTTTGTGAGGGAAAAGGGCGAATTTTTTAAATGCCATTTGAAAGAGAAAAAAAAAAGAAAAGGAAGAAACAAACGGAAGGAAGAGAAATGAAAAATAAAAGGAATGAAAGAAAATGAAGGAAGAAAGAAATGTAAGGAATGAAAAAAGAAGAAAAAGATAAAAGGAAGGAAGAAATGAAAGGAATAAAAAGAGAAGAAAAGAATTAAAGGGATTAAGGAATGAAAGAAAAGAGAGGAAGAAATTAAGAATAAAGAAATGAAATAAATAGATGAAAACAGAAAGAAAGGAAGAAAGAAATCGAAGGAAGGAAAAGAGAAGAAAAGGAAAGAAGGAAAGAAAAATAAGGAAGGAAGAAAGAAATCGAAGGAAGGAAAAGAGAAGAAAAGAATAAAAGGAATTAAGGAATGAAAGAAAAGGAAGGAAGAAATGAAAAATAAAGAAACGAAAGAAAGAATAAAAACAGGAAGGGAAGGAAAAATAAATGAAAAAAGAAAGGGAGATATGAAAAATAAAGAAATGAAAGAAAAAGATGAAAACAGGAAGGAAGTAAGGAAGAAATGGAATGAATGAAAAAGAAGAAAAGAATAAAAGGATGGAAGAAATGGAAGGAAGGTAGGAAGAAAGAAAGAAAGAAGAAAGCAATGTAAGAAAGGAAGGAAGGAAGGAAGGAAGTAAGGAAGGAAGGAAGGAAGGAGAAAGAAATGTAAGAAAGGAGGAAGGAAGGAAGGAAGGAAGGAAGGAAAAGAAAGAAATGTAAGAAGGAAGGAAGGAAGGAGAAAGAAATGTAAGAAAGGAGGAAGGAAGGAAGAAGAAAGAAATGTAAGAAGGAAGGAAGGAAGGAGAAAGAAATGTAAGAAAGGAGGAAGGAAGGAAGGAAGGAAGGAAGGAAGAAGGAAGGAAGGAAGGAAGGAGAAAGAAATGTAAAGAAGGAAGGAAGAAAGAAAAAAGAAATGTAAGGAAGGAAGGAAAGAAGGAAGGAAGAAGAAAGAAATGTAAGAAGGAAGGAAGGAGAAAGAAATGTAAGAAAGGAAAGGAAGGAAGGAAGGAAGAAGAAAGAAATGGAGGAAGGAAGAAGGAAGAAAGAAGAAAAGAAAAAGAAGAAGGAAAAAAGAAATGAAGGAAGGAAGGAAGAAGGAAGAAAAGAAAAAGAAAGAAGAAGGAAGGAAGGAAGAAAGAAAAAGAAATGTAAGGAAGGAAGGAAGGAAGGAAGGAAGGAAGGAAGGAAGGAAGGAAGGAAGGAGAAAGAAATGTAAGAAAGGAGGAAGGAAGGAAGGAAGGAAGGAAGGAAAGAAAGATGTAAGAAAGGAAGAACGAAGGAAGGAAGGAAGAAGAAAAGGAAGTAAGGAAGGAAGGAAGGAAGGAAGAAGGAAGGAAAAAAAGGAAAGAAATGTAAAAAAGAAATGAAAGAAGGAAGGAAGGAGAAAGAAATGTAAGAAAGGAGGAAGGAAGGAAGGAAGGAAGGATGGAAGAAAGAAGAAAGAAATGTAAGGAAGCAAGGAAGGAAGGAAGGAAGAAATAAAGAAGGAAGGAAGGAAGGAAGGAAGGAAGGAAGGAAGGAAGGAGGAAAGAAATGTAGGAAGGAAGGAAGGAAGAAGGAAGGAAGGAAGGAAGGAAAGAAGGAAAAATAAAAAATGAAAGAAAAGGATGAAAACAGAAAGGAATAAATAAACGGAAGGAATGAAAAAGAAAGAAAAGCATAAAAGGAAGGCAAGATGAAAGGAAGGTAGTAAGGAATGAAAAATAAAGAGAAATGAAAAAGAAGGAAGAAAGAGAAATGAAAGGAAAAAAGAATATGAGGTAAGAAAATTATGCAAATTATAAGAAGGGAAAACTAAAGTATTTAATGAAAAATGAAAGAAAAAAAAAATCTGATGAGAATTATGATGTAGTAACGGGAGACGTGAAAAGATTTTATTCGAAACGGGCACAAAAAAAGACAAACATTCACAGATAAAAAAAGACCGGAAGAGACTTTTAAAATCAAAAGTTATTGCATGTTTGTTAAAGGAAGAATGGTAGAGACGAAAAATAAAAAAGGAGTGAAAGAAGGAAACTTATATGTACCCGGATAACTCAGTGGGTGTGACAGATAATGATGGACTGACTGTATTGAGGTGTAGGTGTGTGTGTGTATGTGTATGAGAGATAGCGAATTTAACTTCCCGATGTGCGAGGCGCCTAAAGGTCATAGACGCGGAAAGAGGAATCTGCCGGCCTAATTCAAATTCCTACCTTTCCCAAAGCATAAATCCCTCTCTTCTCTCCCCAGATATGGGTTAAATATCAGGATAAACTTAGCCCTTTAAATATAGGAGATGAGTAACTCTAAATTAAAAATCATAAAGAAGTCAACGGAAAGTTTTTCTCACCAATCATTCCCAAGAAGTTACAGCGATTCACAGATATTAAAGAAACAGATTTTGCGAAGAGCCACTATCGCATACCTCCTAGGACATAATCACAACGGCATTGTGTGTGTGTGTGCGTGTGTGAAGTCTCACTCACACAGTACTTATATAGTCGATTCTTCTTTTAAAAACGTTAGTTTTAATTAGCAATAGAGATTTCATGTTATCCGAAATGTTGTTATTTAACACTACTAATAAGAAATAATGATTGGTGTGAATGCACCCATAAATCTACAAATCAAGAACGAAAGATTTGTTTACATCCCCAAACCGAAGCAGTTATTAGACTACCACGATCCATGGTGCAAGCATACTAGCCTACTCACCAGTGCCGATACATGACAACATTTAAGGTTAGCTTTTTGTAACTGTTGTAGTTGAAGGATAATTTTTAAGATTTAAAGGTCGCCTTATACAGGAAATATACAGAGTGTATATATATATATATATATATATATATATATATATATATATATATATATATATATATATACGAGGCGCGGCTGGAAATTTCATAGGCTGACCTGCGTTAGCGGGCATATAGAGATAAGCGAATGAATTCTTAATTTAATATAAGGTGTAAATAAAATTGTGCTAGACAGAGCTAAGAAGTATATATTAATAAATATACATATACCTATGTTTATAAGGCAACTTAACGTTTCATGGTTTTACCAACTCATCAGGCACGAATTGGTGAATGAAGGTCTATTCACTAGTTCGTGCCTGATGTGTTGGTAAAACCATGAAACTTTAAGTTGCCTTTCGAACATAGTTATATGTGTATTTATTATATATATATATATATATATATATATATATATATATATATATGTATGTGTGTGTGTGTGTGTGTGTGTGTGTGTGTGTGTATAAATATATATATATATATAATTATTTATATATTAAATGCGCGGTACTTATTGAAAGCGCTCAATATCAGAGATAGAGCTAACATATTTGGTTGGATTGATGTGATCATAAAACCGTGAAACCCAGGGTCACAAACTCACATCAATCCACCCATATATATATATATATATATATATATATATATATATATATATATATATATATATATATATATATATATGTATATAAACTTAGTGAGCCTACCCAGGTTTCACCTAAGCGGATCGTCATGGAAAGCGTACTAGAGTACTTACCAGTGCCGATACATCATAAAATTCAAGGTTAGTTTTTGTAACTGTTCTATTAAACGACCCTTAATTATTTATTTTATTTTATATTTTTTGGTGGGAGGGCTGATTTAAAGGTCGCATTATACGCGGAAATATAAGGTATGTTAAAATATGTATTTCACAAAAGATTCAGTGGTCGTAATTAATATGAAGTTGGCTTATAACTAAATATACGCGGTAATCATTCGGTGATTTCTACCGTTCAATAGATGAACATTTAAAATATGGCTAATTTAGTGAAGGGTTTCAGTTATTTATAATTTATCTATTTCGTTTATAATAATTATTTCGATTACATTTATTATTGACTAGCAGTAGAGCCCGGCGTTGCCCGGGGATGTAACACATAAGAGATAGATCAAGTATCGACCATCATAAAGACTAAAAAATAGAATTGACAAAGATTATTGTTTAAGGTTGACGGACACGCATGTCTTAATTAGTTTTTTTTTGTTTTGTTTTTTTTTTGTTTTGTTTTTTTTACGAATTGGTCAAACCCAAACTCAAACAAAAACATTGTTTTCAATCGTTATGAGTCTATCGATTGAACAGAATTTTATTATAAACAATTGTCTTGTAAATGGAATTTTTAAAGCATTATGAATGTAAAAATAAAGAAAAAAGTGTGCAAGACAATAAGAAACACTACCTGCCAAAAAAAAGTGAAGTTTTGTTGAAATCGGTTGAAAAATGTAGGAAATCCGACCCCATATATAAACGAACACACACACACACACAAACAACCTGGGTTTTATAATAAGTATAACTCGATATGAGTTGTCCCCCTTCATTCTCGCGATCCGTCTTAATCGTGTTTTCAAATTGATTTCGTGCAAAAACAATTGTCTTTTTCCAATTTTTGGCGCTGTCAGAACCACCGCAAGATAATTTTACGTAGTCCTGTGAAGTTTTGTTGAAATCGGTTGAAAAATGTAGGAAATCCGATCCAATATATAAACGTACACACACACACACACACACACACACACACACACACAACCTGGGTTTTATAATAAGTATGATTAATAAAAGCTTAACACTTGGAATCAAGTACAATTACAATTTATATATTGTAGATAGGTCGCTTTCTGTGTATGAAATCCGGTTGACTTCTCGATGTTATCAATCTGGGGAGGTGATCTCAGTATGCAGCACCTTTGGAAAATACCCGAAAACCTTACCATGGGTTGATCCAAGCCGTGTGAATGAAATTGGGTAGACGGAAATATTTAGGAACCATCGATGATTGTGTCAGCACGAAGTCACTAGTCATCGTGATATTTTTTTTTTTTGTTCACTTCATGGACGCATAGCCCAGTGATTGAATCCAGTGATTTGACCCAGAGAGTTATGAGTTCAATACCTGGCTACTTCTGAGTTGAACAAAAAGTTAAAGGGAGATAACTGATACTGAGACACCCAGAAGAGACATGGCACGTGGAACTAGAATAATTTACTCCGATGGACGAAATAAATGGTTCAGCTCGAAATTCCAATCACCTGAAGAAAGCCGAAGCGTACAACGGCCGAAACGTCGTGAATATGGCAACAAAGATTAGGATAACAGTCCGAACGATGTAAATAGTGTAAATAATTACAATACCTCATCTCAGAAATACAGGGAGACTTTATTAATTTATTGACTATTTGAGTGGAAAAATTTATTAACTGTGTCTGTATATTTCCTTTGTAGTTATTGAATACGCTTAGACTCCTTAGAAATATGATAAGCTCTATCGCTGTGTGTGATAAAATGCGAATCTTTGTTGTATCAATTTAAAAGCATGTGTACTGATGCGTGCGACCCGCTCAGCTTATAATATCAACGATACATATGCGTAAGAAACAGATTATATATGTAGAGCACGTTGTCCTTTGGCGTGAATGCCATTTAACTATGACATGTCTCTGGAGATGGTACCTTAAAATGTGTCTGTATAAAATATTTAATATTCGTACAAAATAATACCAACAATACGTATAAATATTCGATATTCCGGAGAGGCTTAGCACAATTTAACCGTTACACATGACGTCATTTTGGACTAATTCGAGTGTCAGCCTTTTAAAAAAATATCAGGATGTAACCAACAAAATCTTGTCTACAGGCCCGTTGGGGATAGAAGGTTACTCTACCAGAAAATTATTTACCCCACCCGTAGTCAAACTAATTTTAATGTACAAATTTTTACTTCCAGTCCCACAGACTTAAAAGCCACTCTAAACACAGGTGACGTGCCTACTTGTCTATCACATTGACAACTCCCAGTTTCTGACAATGACTGAGACGATCAAAATAATTGAACAAAACAGGAAACGTGAACTTCGGACAGTTTATCTCCTGTCTTTTCTACAAATATTTTCATGGCAACTGCTCTGACAAACTTTCTTTCCCTGCTGCTTCGAATGGGGAGGCACAGTGGAGTAATGGATAGTGACTCGCATTGAATGAATCGGAGAGTCGAGCCGAATCCATTATATTCACTTACGCGCTAATACCCTTGGGAAAGGTATGAATCCTCTTCTTCTCGCCCACCTTCGCAGCTATGAGTAAATAGCAGGACAGACCGAGTTCTATAGCCTTGGATGGCAACTGGTCTTCTGCAGAAAGAAATGGCAACCTACTGCGGGAAAAAACTGCATCGTCAGTCATGTATCGAAAGAAACATACTCACCTAAGTGTGTATCACAGCTGACTGAAATACACTTACGTGCTAATAAACTTGGGAAAGTTATGAATCCTCTTCTTCTCCCCCCCCAGCTATGGGTAAATAGCAAGACAGAGCGGGTTCTTTAGCGTTGTATGGCAACTGGTCTACCGTAGAAAGAAATGGCAACCGACTACGGGAAAAAAATCTGTTTTGTCATGCATGTATCGAAAGCTTCGCCTACGCGTGTATCACGTATGGCACAAAACAGACTGACTAGATTGGCAAATCCCAACCTATTACTGTTCTACTCCAATTTTTTTTTTTTTTATCTTACTTTCCATCTTTGGAACTCTCTTCCGTTATCTTGTTTCCCTGGTAACTACAATCTTCAAAAAGATAAATACACCATCAATCGCCATCTTGTCTACTTGAACATC